GTAAAGACATTCCCAAGTGAAGGAAAACAAAAAATTTATTGCCAGCAGTTCTACCTTTACATATTGACTAGTTACTAGAAGTTCTTCAAACAAGAAGAAAATGATGAAAGAATCTGGAAGCATCAAGGAAGGAAGAAGGAATAGCAAAAAGAATTGAAATATGGGTACATACAATAGGCTATCTGTTTCCTCATGAGTTTTATAAATCACATTTGATGATTGAAACAAAAATGAAGAGAGGTAAAGAGAGCTAAATGGATGTGAGGTTTCCACACTTCCCTCAAAGTGATAAAATGTGGATACCAGCAGACTGTGATAAGCCATGTATGTATACTAAAATCCTACAGTAACCACTACAAACCAATACAAAGAGCTACACTCAAAAATGGTGTAAATAAATCAAGATGGAAAACTAAAAAATGTTCAGGTAACCAACAGAAAGGCAAAAAAGGAAAAACAGAGGAATAAGAACCAATCAAAAGGCAGAGATTGACACAGAGTGGATTAAAAAGTTATAATGGAGGGGCACCTGGCTGCCTCAGCCGGTAGAGCATGCGACTCTTGATCTCAGGGTTGTTAGTTCAAGCCCCATGTTGGGTGTAATGATTACTTAAAAATAAAAGCTTAAAAAAAAAAGTTATATGGAACTATATGCTGTTTAAAGAAACTCACTTTAAATTCATTGATATAGGTAGGTTGAAAGTGAAAAGATGGAAAAAGATACCATGTAAACATTAACTTTTTAAAAAGCAGGAGTGGCTCTTTAATACGTAATAAAGTAGACTTCAGAGCAAAGAAAATTTCTAGAGACAAAGACATATGAAAAATGGATTAATCTGTGAGGAAGACACAATGATCTAATGTATAGCACCAAACAACAGAGCCTCAAATACATGAAACAAAAACTGATAGAGCAGAAAGTAGAAATAGACAAGTCCAAAATTATGGTTGAGGACTTCAACACTCCCCTCTGAGCAACTGATAGAACTACTTGACCTGAAATCAGCAAAGATATAAAAGATTTGAACAATACCAGCAATAAATAGGATCTAATCAATGAATTATAGAACATTCCACCACTAACAACAGAAAACACATTTTTTCAACTTCATGTGGAACATTTACAAATACCTGGGGTCATAAAACAGAACTCAGCAACTTTAAAATAATTGAAATCATACAGAATATGATCTCTGACCCTTATAGAAACAAACTAGAAATTAACAACAGAAAGACAAGAAAATCTCAAGATGTACAGAAATTGAATGACACATTTCTAAATAATCTATGGGACAAAAGTCTCAAAGGAAGTTTAAAACTACAAAGAACTAAATGAAAGTGAAGATGTAGCATATGAAAATTTGTGGGATACAGGCAAAGCAGTTCTAAGAGGGAAATTTATTTTACTAAATGTATTAGAGTAAAAGGGAGGTCTTGAGTCAGTAAGCTAAGCTCTTACCTCAAGAAATTAGAAAAAGACAAGCAAAATAAACCCAATACAAGCAGAAGGAAGAAAATAGTAAGGAGCAGAAATCAATGAAATTGGAAACAGAAAAGCAATAGAGAAGGCCAATGAAATCAAAAGCTGGTTCTTTAAAAACATCAGTAACATTGATAAACTTCTAGCAAGACTGACAAAGCATAAAAAAGAGGATATGTAAATTATCAATATTAGAAATGAAAGAGAGAATTATCATCACAAACCCTACACACATTGAAGGATAATGCTATGAGCACTTTAATTCAGCCACTTAGATGAAATAAACAAATTCATCAAAAACTGCCAACTATCAAAACTCACCAAGGATGAAATAGATGACCTAAATAGTCCAGAACTATGAAGGAAATTGAATTCATAAAACCCTTCCTAAAAAGAATCTCCTGACCCCAATGGTTTCATTTAGTGAATTTTGCTAAATGTTTCGAGAATCAATACTAACCCCAAACAGTCTTTTCCAGGAAATAAGGGAGAATGTTTCCCAATGTATGATACCAGCATTATCCTAATGCCAGTATCAGACAAGGTGGTTATACAAAAAGAAAATTACGGCCCAGTATCCATCATGAATACAGATGTGAAAGTCCTCTATGAAATATTAGCAAATCAAATCCAGTGATACATAGAAAGAATAATTCATCTAAGAGGAGTTTATCCCAGGAATGTAGGCTGGTTCAATATTTGAAAATCAGTCAATGTAATCCACCATATTGACAGTATAAAGAAAAAAACCCACATGATCATATTAATTGATGCAGAAAAATAATTTGACAAAATTCAACATCATTTATGATTAAAAATACAACTGTCAGTGAAGTAGGTATATAAGGGAACTTTCTCGACCTGATGAAAGGCATCCACGGGGGGGCGGGGGGGAGAAACAACTGATTATATCATACTTAATGGTGAAAGACTGGATGCTTTTCTGAAAAAATCATCAACAAAACAAGGATAACTATTCTTATCACTCCTATTCATCACTGTATTCTTATCACTCCTATTCATCACCTACACATTGCAATAAGGTAATTTTTAAAAGTATAAAGACTGGAAAATGAGGGGGAAAAAACAGTTCCTATTTGCAGACAACAAGATAGTCTGAATAGAAAATCCATAAGGAGTCTATTTTTTAAAAAACCTCTTAGGACTAATAGGTGACTTTAGCAACAGATCAGTATATCAGGTCAAAACATAAAAATCAATCATATTTCTATATGCTGGCAATAAAAAATTGAAAACCAAAAATTTGTTGAATACCATTTTTAACAGCTTTAAAAATGAGATATGAAATATCTCAAAACATATATTGAGAACCATCAAACACAAAGGAAATCAAAGAATCACTAAATAAGTGAAGAGATATACCATGTTCATGTATTGGAAAACTCAACATAGTAAAAATGTCAGTTTTCCCCCAAACTGATCTGATAGATTTGGTATAATTCTATCAAAATTCCAGCAGGATTTTTTTAGATATAGACATGCTAAATCTAAAACCTTTATGGAAGGGTATATAAAATAATTTTAAAGAAAGAATAAAGTTGAAAAAATCTCTCGATTTAATGATTTATGATAAAGTTACAGTAATCAAAATATTGGTAAATGTGTCTTATATGCATTCTAAGAAGAATTTCCCTTTTTTTGTGTCTGTTTTAGCCAGCAGTTGACCAAGTTGATTTCTTCTTTTTTTTTTTAAGTTGTATTTATTTAAGTAATCTCTACACCCAACGTGGGACTCGAACTCACCACCCCAAGATCAAGAGTCACACGCTCCGAGACGTCAGGTGCCCAGACCCAGCTGCTTTCAATCTCCAACAAGTTTCAGCCAGTGTTCTGTGGGTTGTCATTCCACTGTCAGCCCAGTTTCCAAAGGCTTTGCCATGCTATTTGGAGCAGTCCTGACTGTGTGCCAACGAGTGTCCAGTTTAGGATTTGGGTGGTGGTCAGTCCCATCGTTCTATCCTCAACATCTGTGATGTACTGTTTAGGGTCAGACGATATGTACACAGCTTGGGGGTAAGCCTAAGAATTCATAAATAACTTGATTTTTTTCCTGAGCTTTTCCCTTTTCGTGATCTCCCTTGTGTTTGTTGGTTCCTTGGGGGGGTTTTTTGGTCCTCAAGTCGGGAAACTTTATTTACCCTGCCCTGCTATACTCTGGCCGTGACTGCCCCTATTATCTCCAGCCAAGCAACATGAGGACTGAGCGAGTATAAAGTTATTTTGGGTTCTTATGAGATGCTGATGTCACCACTGCTGCCACAGCCACAGGATTCCTTGGGGGCTGGGACACAAGAGAATGGAGGGAAAAAAAGAAAACAACAAAACATGGCTTTCCTCTACTCTGTGTCTTTCCTGTTTCTCAAGAGGGCCTCTCCTTGAACTCTCTCTGTGCTGATGCCCACTTCCGGGATTTTGAGCCATGTCTAGAGAACACTGGAGAAAAATAAAAAGATAAACTCACCATCTGTTCAGTAATTCCAGAGACCTTCTCGGATCTTCCTGCTACCATTTGCTTTTCAGAGTCTTCAAGTGGCTGTTGAATCCTGTCCAGGTTTGATGGACTGTATTCAGGAGGAGAAGCAGGGTTAAATGTGCCTACTCCATGTTACCTGGAATGAGAATACATGTCATTGCTTTTGTTCAACTCATAAATTAATGAGGGAACCAGGAAGATGTTAATATTGGTCCAAAGGACATTTGAGGAGCTAGGGATTTATATCCAATTTAATTAAAGGATGTTAGAAAAAGATGGCTGAGTTACATTAAAAAAAACCCAAAAACTGGTTACCATCCTACAGGACAATAAACTATAACCTCTGGCCATATCTTCTCCATTGACAGAAATAATGTGCATCTCTACTAAACAAACACTTACATGTTAGCTAGCAAATTCTCTAAGTTTGAAACGATTAATTCACAGAATATTTTGATTAAACAATATCTTTACAAAGTACATTCCAGTTTTCCTAAGTACAGAACTAAGTCCGTTTCCCTATAAAAACTTTAGGTAAGTGTTCCCCTGCATGACATGAAAATTCCATGCTAGCCTTATTTGGTTTTGCCTTTTTTCCAAGTTCTGGGTCATTTTTCTTAAGAACAGTGATTCAAACTCTTCTTGCAGAAGGTCTCACCTGAAGCAAGAGATGATGTAAGACTGGCTTACACTCCCTGAGGAGGCAACCTATTTTTTCCCAATTCAATAAATGTTTATTACATACCTACTATGCACCAGACATCTGGCTAGGCAATTGTACGCAAGACCAGTACATGATTTTCATAATATGTATCAATCATGTTGTGTTCTCTTGACAGTTAATTTCGCTTACATAATATAGAAACCATAAAACTCTATTGTTGTCATCAAAAATTTGAAAACTGCACATGATACGGTCGTTAAGGTATAAAATACTCTCTTTCTGGTGTGCTCTTCAGATGAACTCAGAGTGCAGTTAGTGCCTATTCATTTTGTGACTTTGATTGCTGCCGTTTCCTCTTAAAGGAAAGACCGAGGGAAAAAAGAAGAGGAAAAAGTGAAGGAGGAAGAGGAGTTTGCGGCAGCCCCAAAATTGGCCGGAGAAGGGAGCCCTGATAAAGAATGGTACCCTCCCTCCGACCCGGGCTTCTGTGTTTATGTGTATGAAGTGACCAAGTCAATATTTCCCATAACCAATATTAAGGAGCAGATTGAGGCTCTTGCAAAGTAAGTGGTCTCTATATACATCGGCATTTTAAGTTTCTGAAGCAAAGTTTTTGATTTTAGTGGTTTGCATTTCTTAGCCCATTTTCAGCTAACGACATTGTAATTACTGCCCCCCACTTCTGACCTTGAAGCAGAAACATAATAAATTGGAAAAAATGCCCAATTTCTATTTTAGGTCCTATTTCCGCCAAGAATCAGAGCTAGGAGCTAGAAATTGCTTAAAGAAAAACACTTTTGTCATTTTCTCCAGCTAAACCATTAAAGGCATCGTTCAACGTGATCCTGAAGAAGTTAGGAAGGAATCAAAAGTTTGAAAATTAAATTACTCCAAAAATAAAAAAAGAAAGAAAGAAAATTAAATTACTCCTTAGGTACCTGGGGTGCTCACAATTTAACGAAGCGTATTGTGAATTCTTTGTAAACTCACAAATTATTTTCTTTTTTAAATTTTTTCAATTTGAATTCAATGAATTAACATATAGGGTATTATCAGTTTCAGAGGTAGAGTTCAGTGATTGATCAGTCTTCTATAACACCCAGTGCTCATTCCATCACGTGTGCTCCTTAATGACCATCACCAGGTTACCCCATCCCCACAAATTCTTTTCTGATACAAATAACCGTCACTATTTTTAGGTCAGACAGATGTCTGATATTTTGCGTTTCGCGTTGCTCTCGAGTGTGGTTGTGAGGGTGGCTGTTTGGGCAGGCTAGACGCTCTGTGAGAGCCAGTGATGTTGCCTTCTTAATTAGAGCATTGAATGTGAGTCCACTGAGAGAAATCTGAGAACTTGACTTGGTAGCTGTAAGGGGTTAGGAATTGCAGCAAGTGGAGGGTGGCCTCCATAATTGGCACCGACAACCAGTTAGTGAGCTACTGGATCCTGCAACAGCTGTAGTCTCCACGGGAGCTTGTGTCTATTCCAAGGAGCAGTGCATTGCACTCATCAAACCTGGACGTGACAACTGCAAGAAACACAGCCGCCAGATCATTGACTTCTTGTCAGCCAGAACTGGAAGAGAACATTTTTGGCGACTGAAGTTTTCCTGATGTCCTTGAGAAGTGATGACTCGAGCAGAACTCTGATTTAGCTCATTTCAGCATTTGTCAGATGTCCTCATGCTTTGTTCCTATCAGAAATACTTTTCATCATTCCCAAATAATTGTTTTTTTTAACCTGAGCCCTTTTCGAGGCGAGATCCAGAGATTTGTCCCCGTGCCTTTGGTTTCCGCATTCATTACAGGATACCTGGCGGGGTCCATGCGACAGCTCTCTCCCCGCCCCTTTCTCTGTTTTTCGCCGTTGTTCTTCTTTGCTTGATCCTACATACAGCAAGAGGAAATTCTTTCTTAAAATTTGCAATTCTGCCTTTACTCCAAGATGTAGTAGGCTTCATCAGTCGACAGAAGATTTTTGCAGGTGTGTTTACTGACTTCTTCAGGGAGAGCTTCAAATGAGGGGGAAACCCCTAGGCAAACTATATCACCCCCTTCCTCTCTCCTCTCACTTCAGGGTTACATAAATGCCTCTAAATAAAAAATAAATAAAAATAAGACAACTTAAAAGGAAAAAACTTATAAAACTTGAAAATATTTGGGAATCCAATGGGAAAATTTCCTATTTGTTCACATTATCTCTGAGTTCAAATTCCTTAAAAGGAGGACCATACGTTAGTACAATGCCTTGGATTTCAGATTGAAACATTTGAAAATACTTTTCAAGAGCAAGGTAGAATTTTAAGACTGCACTGATACAAATTTAGTGTGATATTGATTTGTCTCTTGTTATAAATATTGAAATTAGCATTCATTTCTTCCTTTGTGTTGAATGAAATTGTTAGAATTTCAGTTTATACATGAGAGTTTGAAGACAGTAGGCATAATGTTAACACGCTTATAGTAAGTTTAAAAAGTAAAGCCAATGATAAAAGTCAAAGGAAATATAGTTTTCACACATACAGTTACACTCAAAGCATCCAAAACGAGATATTAAACTTGACTGATTTGATCTCAATGTAATTGACACAGGTATGTGGCAGAAAAAATGGGCGGTAAAGTTTCAAAAGAGAAACTACATGATTTCAGCTGGGAACTTCATATAAGTGAACTAAAATTTCAACTTAAATCCAATGTTATACCAATTGGACTGATCAAAAAAGGAATCTTCTACCATCGAGCTTTGCTTTTCAAGGTACTTAAGATGTTTTGCCTCACTTGCCAGTAGGTACAAATGTTTGTCATTATTATAATGGTGTGAGCCATTGGCTAACATTTAACTGGCTAATATTAATCCTATTGTTTAGAGTTACTTCTATTTGAGATATATATGTAACGTGTATATTTGCCAGACTATCAGAAGCATATTCATTCAACATTTATCATACATCTACTATAGGCCAAGGGCTCTCCTAAGGTCTGGGAATATAGAGATACTAAAGTGGCAGCCCCTACCCCAGGTGCCTAAGCCCGACTTGTGGGTTCTAAGGAGATGTCAGGGAAAGTTTCAGGGGATGAAGTGATATGCAGCCTGAGTATTAGAGGCTAAGTAGGATTTCAGCAGGTAAAGAAGGAAGACAAGAGCATTCTAAACAAACCAATATTTTATACAAAATAACTGGAATGAGAGCCCCTGGTCCATCTGAGGAGTGTAGAGTAGTTTGTCTGGATGAAGGAAAGAGGAGGGGTTGGATGAGGCTAAGGGCCAGATCACAAAGCACCATGTGAGTTTGCACTTGATCCTAAAATCTGTGAGTAGCCACTGAATGTTGTTAAGGGGAAAGCAGCAATATGATTTTGAAAGACCGTTCAGGCAACAGAATGGGGAATCAATTAGAGCAGGGGCAGGACTGGAGACAGGAAGACCAACTGGAAGGTCACTGGAGCAAGAAATATAGGTGACCTTTACTAAAGCAATAGCTGTGAGGACGTGGAAGAAGGTGTGAATTTACAGGGAGATTTAAAACAGTTGGGTGTCTGCCTAGGTGTGGTATCAGGGACCGCATGAGAAGAACAAAGTGATTTTCAGGTCCTGGGCGGGGCAACTGGTAATGATGGCATTATTCACCGAGACGGGGACACTAAAGAAGGATCAGATATGAGACAGGGGGGTGATTTTTTTCTCCATTGTGTCAAGTGTCTGGAATATAATAGGAGCTGCAAAAATGGTTTCTGAACTCTAGACTGAATGTATAAGATTCCTATCCCCTTGCAAATACCTACAAACCTCTTTACATCCATGTATATCTTGCTTCCAGTTCTGAGCGAATTCTATCTCTAATCCAAATGCCAACCTTCTGTATTTTCTTGGATTTCTTGCTTTATCAAATTTTCTCCTCCTTAAATCTCTTTCTCTCTACTAGCTGTTTTTCCTTTAAAATCTAAAGTTAAGTCTGTACTCTTTAAAGAGGAAATAGAAATCTTTTCTCATCATAGCTACAACTACTCCTATAGCTCCTATTACCATGACCACCATCATTTTGAGCTACGTGTCAAGCACCTGATAAATGCAATTGTGAAGAGTCTCACAAATGCCAAAGGTTGAAATTACTACCCTTGTTTGAAAGACAAGAAAACCGAACTCAAAGAGAGAATTTACCCAAGATCAACCAGAGGCCCAGCTGGAACCCATACCCATGCCTGTCTGAATCAAACCTACCACATTGCTTCTATCTGTAGATAATTCTTATTCCAGGTCAAAATTCAAAGTCATCTCAGCACCTTAGTCATCTCAGTCCCTCCTTAGCATGCCTCATTTTTCTCCTCAGCCCACTGCAGCCTGGCCTTAGCTCCCTGTCTTACTTGATATGTCAAAGAATTTGTCACTGATCCTTCTCAACCCTTGACACCACTCTCTTTAGTAACTTCTGTCCTCTCTTTCCACCTCATCTCAGTGGCCTTTGGTGACCTCTTTTCCTCCACGCCCCTTCAATGTGGGAGTCCCTCACGGTTCCAACCCAGACTCTTTTCTCACTTTATGTACTTTCTACGGTGCAGTCCTCATGTCACGTGACCTTAAACACTAACTGCCTAAGGTGCCCAGATTCTTTCCTCTGTCCCACAGACCTCTCCTGATTCCTGATCTGTCTGCGCTCCAGCTGGCTGCACCCGAGCATCTCCTAGGCACTGTATTAGTGTTCTCATGCTGCTGTCTCAAAATACCATACACTGGGGGGCTTAAACAGTAAACATTTATTTCTCACAATTGCGGAGGCTGGGAAGTCTAAGATCAAGGTGCCAGCAGAGTCAGCATCTGGTGAGGACCCTCTTCCTGGTTTGCAGTGGCCACTTTCCGCCTCTGTCCTCACATCCCGGACAGACAGGAGGCTCTGATCTCTTCCTCCTCTTACTAAAGCATTAATCCCGCAGTGGGGGCTCCATGTTCATGACCTCCTCTGAACCTAACTACCTAAAGACCCATCTCCCAATACCACCCTACTGGGGATCAAGGTTTCAGCATATGAACTGGGTGGGCGGGGGGGGGAGACACGAACATTCAGTCCATCTCATTATGCCGAACTCAATCTATTACCCTCACACCTGCATGGAGTGACACAATTCATTAGCTGGGTCTTGCCCACCGCTGACGGCCTGACCGCTAATACCAATGATAAAATCTTTTATCCTTCCACCCTCCTAAATTGTTCACTCCTGTGAATACTCTTCATCTTCCCTATTTTCTTCCAGTTTATTGCCTCGTTTTTGGCTTTACTTTTCCCCCTTGGCAGCCTAGATGAATTATCCTTAGACCTTATAATTGGCTCACTAACTTCCCCCACTTTCTTGGCCCCGTCCGTCCTCCCTACTGCCTTGCCAGTCCCCCCGGGGCCAGTCGGATTGCTTGCCCTTTCCACTGTGACACTCGGGCTATGGAACTTGACAGTGGGGAGTGCCACAGCCGAGTCAGCGTGCCCAACTCATGTGGACAGTCATTTGGCCTGGCCACTCTTTTCCAGCTCCTGGTCACAGGCTTTTCCTTTTCCCGCAGCAGCTCTGCCCCACATGTTTGTCCTACTAACACTTTCATCTCTGCCTCTTCCTCTAAGCAGACGACTTTGTTTCGCACTTTGCAGAGAAGATGGAGACTTTCAGCTGGGAACTCATTCAACTCAGTGGGAGGCAGTATCACCCTGAGGCTAGGAACTCAGACTCTGGGGACAGATTCCCTGGCTTCCACATTAGGTCACCACTTACGGTGACCTTCCTCAGGAAAATGATCTGGCCTCAGTTTCACTCTCCATAAAATGGGATACCCAATCGTTATCTATTTCACAGGATTATTTTGATGATTTAAAGTGCCTTGACATGGAGTTAAGAGAGCAATAAATATTATTTCAGAGAACATGTTTATTTTTGACTCTCTACCCCACTAGACAATGAGTATAAGAGGATTCTTGTACCAATTCCAGTGGGGGGAGGGGTGGCAGGCCCGGGGTGGGGGGAGCAGGTTTTATACATCCAGCCAATCCTCAGACATCAGCTAGGTCAATGCAACTCAATTCTGACACTACCCACCTGGGGACAGCGTCAGACCCCACAGGTTACGGGCTCACTCCTGCACCACTGCACCCTCCCCGCCACACAAACTTCAGCCAACCAGTCACAAGCCCGGCTGTCATCTGCGCTTCTGACCAGCCCGCTATAGACTGGAGGTTCCCAAGAACACAGCCCCTCAGGGTTGATTAATTTGCCAGAGGGGCTCACAGAACTCAGAAACATTTTACTTACTAGATCACCAGTTTATCATAAAAAGATATAACTCAGGAACAGCCAGATGGAAGAGATGCATAGAGAAAGGTAGGGGGAGAAGGCTTGGAGCTTCTGTGCCCTGCTCCAGGCGCCCCACTCTCCCTGAATCTCCACGGGGTCACCAATCCAGAAGCTTTCCGAATTCTCACCTTTTGGGTTTTCAGGGAAGCTTCATTTCATAGCCATGATTGATGAAATCATTGCCACTGCGGGCTGATTCAACCTGCAACCGCTCTCCCCTCCCCAGGTTCAGGGTGGGACTAAATGTTGTAACCCAATCATAAGATTGGTTCCCCTGCCAAACAGCCCCCATCCTTAAGTGCGGTCCAGAAGTTACCTCATTAACATAAGGAAAGACACTTTTATCGTTCTCATCACTTAGGAAATTCCAAGGGTTTAGGAGCTCCGTGCCAGAAACGGGACAAAGACCAAACGCGTATTTCCTATTATAAATGACAATACCACAGAATGCCATCCATTTGGATCCTGTTGTATTCTAGTTGACTGTTTACCAGGCAGGCTCAGACTTGATAGGATGGAAGGCTCTAAAAGTGACAACCATGTCTTAATTATCTTGGTCCACCCAAGAAAGACTACCTTGGTGAAGTCAATACACAGTAGGTATTCAATAAATCACATTAATATATAGATGGATTTTTAAAACAACACAATTCTTGTCTTCTACTAGGAACACCTATTGAGTACCTACTCTGTGCAGCATTCATAGCTCTAGGCCCTTGACACGTATTCATTCCCTTCATCTCCATAACCACCCTGCTAGGAAGGAGGTTCGACTGTTGTTATCCTCATTTCTCAGATGAAGAAATAGAAGTACAGAGAGGCTGAGTCATTTGCCTGAGGTGACAACAACTAGTAAGTGGCTGAGCCAAAATTCAAATCCAGGCAGTCTGAGCAGTCTCTTAATCCACTATGACGTGGCTAAGAAGTTTCCAGATTATTTTAAAGGTACTTTTTAAATAACTTCAAAATCAGGACAAACTGAAGAGAGCGCTTCTAAGGAACATAAGCCACTCCGGAGGAAGTGGCATCAGGCATCCCAAAAAGGGCCAACCCCCTGCTCACGGCAGCGTCCCCATCACACAGAATAAATCGGCAAGAAAGAGGTTCCCACCAGTTTGATCCCTCCATTCAATCCCACTGCATAGCACACCCACAGAGCAGCCTAGAAGCATGGAAAGATTGATAGATGCGGTAGTGCTGAAAGCCCGTGGAATAGCTATTCTCCAATGACGTTATCAATCTTGTGCTGATACAATGCAGTGTAACTGCCTGAAAAATGTCACTTCCCAGCAGGACCTACACAGAGATTTTGAGTCTACAGGATCTTGGGGAACAAGGGAACTTACCACATTTTATTGGCTCCTATCACAATATTCCACATCTTTTTTCCAGCCTCCTTTCTAAGCACTTCTTTGCAAGAGTTGTGTATTTCCCCTTCAACAAGGTGGGTCTTCCAGCTAAGGATTTTTCTCCGCCCCTCTCCCTCCTCACTTTTGGTTGATCTTGTGTTTTCTCCCACAGGCGCTGGCTGATAAAATTGGCATTGGCTGCTCTCTGGTTCGTGGGGAGTATGGCAGAGCCTGGAATGAAGTTAAGTTGATGAATGAATCTCGTAAGGGACTGATTGAGGCTCTCCCTCCCCCTGAGGTGTATATCGTTGACCTCATGTTCCATCCAGGCGGGTTGATGAAGTTAAGAAGTAAAGAGGCAGATCTTTACAGATATCTCTAAGCTACCAAATGAACAAAAAGGGGTTCACACAAGAAGTGCATTATATACACTTCTTATGAAGTTCACCAATTGATTTTATTTCTTTAAATAAAAGTATTAGAAATGTTCTCTCTGTGTAGAAATGAGGACACTTGGATTGAACTTGGTGATGGTGGTGGTTCTGATTTCAGGTTCTTGGCAAGAGTTCAGTCTGATTAGATCCTATTATGCTCACTGTCCCTCATGTAAAGTTTATTATTGTCAAAATTAATCCACCCCACTATTTCCCGAGGAGCCTCTCTGCCCTTTGGGAATCATGTGGTAAAGCACCCAGCTGCCGGCCGCTGTTCCTGGGACAATACCGTGGCCTCATGCCTGTCATTCTTCACGCCCAGAATGGTTCAGGAACACTTGGTTAAATAAACTCAGTAGTATTTTTTTTTTTTAAAGATTTTACTTATTTATTTGACAGAGAGAGAGAGACAGCGAGAGAGGGAACACAAGCAGGGGGAACGGGAGAGGGAGAAGCAGCCTTCCCGCTGAGCAGGGAGCCCGCTATGGGACTCGATCCCAGGACCCTGGGACCATGACCTGAGCCAAAGGCAGACGCTTAACGATTGAGCCACCCAGGCGCCCCGTAAACTCAATAGTGTTTTATGTCTTCAGTCACCTTGTCCCACTTTCTTAAAGTCAGATTATTGATAGTTCGAATATGTATAGATCGATTTTAGTATTACAAATTCCTTTCTAAAATTTTTTTGTTCACACTTAAAACAATGTATTATTAAGAACACTGTCTAATATACTTCACTGAACTAAAAATCTTTCTAAAACCCATTCCCATAAACTGTGTTTGTCTTTGGTCCTATCTTTGTTTTACTTGAAGATATACCTCCAATTAAAAACAATTCTGATTTGCTTCTACACATTTTCATGCTGGGTCACAAAAATAGTTGTTTTGAATTTATGTAGCCTAAAAATTCTTTTTTGGAAAATTTTAGATATAGAAAGAGACTAAATCTTTGTGAGAAATTGTGTTTTCAGTATTGAGAATGAAACAGGGAGCAAACACACATTTTAAAAGATAAATCAAAACTAGTAATATGATGACTCTCATAAAGTATATATATCCTCACCTGACTTTAAGTCTAAAGTTTACTGTAATCATTTTACTAGAAGGTTTTCAAAAGTCAGATTGATTTTAGAAATTAAGGCTGAGATGATTCTACACAAACCGATGGTAACTTCAAAGAATTTGTATTTCCTTATTTCAAAATAAAGTTCTTTATATCAAATGTGTGGTAATTATATTTATCATGCAATTTCGTGAACTGGTGCGTGGATTATACCCGTCTAAGCATTTTCAAGTCTGTTTTGATCCAGAACACATTTAAAGTGGATTACAAAGATATGTAAGATGTAACAAGATAAAAATAAATGAAAAACAGGCGTAAATGTTGGAAAGCTTAGAATTTGAATGCATCCATGAAAATCCCATGCATATGTTAGCAGTGGGTGAGAAGTTGATGCTAAGCTCTCTAGCAGACAATGCAGTGGGAAATGCTATCAGTTACATGATTTATAATAGGGTCCGCTAGCTAAAAACACAAAGCAGTTTCTCAGGAGGAATAAAGACCAGGGGGATTCCTCTTTGGGAGCTTCATACAGATGACAAATGTAATATAGAAAATAACATTGTTGAAAAACAACCTCCTAGTAAGTTCTGGAAAGGGTTTTTGTAGGCAATGGCCTAACAGCAAAATGGAATGAAGCAGAAGTTGCATTCAGAGCCACTGTGCTGTGGTTCATGTAGACGTGACATTCTTCAGTCTGGTCCAAGCCAAGGGCCATCCCCCACCCCTTTTCTCATCTTAGAAACATTTATGTATAATGTCTCTCTCAACTGGCTTCTAGGTAATTATTGCACAGGTTTGAGTTTCAATTCTATTTTTAGACAGTTCTTCGAAGTTCATCTATTTTGTGTTACCAAAAGACAACACATTCACAATAGCAACACAAAGTATAAAGTACCTAGAAATAGATCCAATAAGAAATACACAGGAAAAACTATAAATTTTTAATGAGATCTGAATAAATGAAGATGCACATCATTTTCCTTGATGGAAACTCAACAATATAAAGATTTCAGTGCTCCCCGTATTAATATACACATTTAGTAACTCATTTAGAATCCCAATGCATTTTCTTTTCTGAAACCTGACAAATAGTAAACTTTATCTGGAAGAATGAATACATGTGTATGCCAATAATATTTGCAATAAAAAAATGAAGAGGAATTGCGTCTATTATATATCAGAACATATATTAAAAAGTAAGAAATTAGTATGGAATGGGCATAAAAATAGAACAATATTAAGAGTACAGATACAGATACATTATATATATAGGGATTATATATATGTGTGTGTATATATATATGGAGATATATATATAGAGAGAGAGATAGATATATATATATATGGATTTAGTGTTGATAAAAATAGCTTTTCTGCCAGGAGCAGGGCACAATGATAGCCTATTCAGTAAATGACTATGGGAAAGTTATTATCTTGGCAAAGGAACATCCTCTCTATTTCTGACAGATAAACTAGAAGCCATAGAGGAAAATATCTGACAAGTTTGGCTCTGTAAAACTTTAAATTCCTGTTCAGAAAAATACAGCATCAGCAAAAATATTTCTGTTCGGCAAAATAAAATGTAAGCAAAATCATAGGGAGGAAAACATTTGCAGCATACATAACAGACACCATGTCAATATCCTTAACAAATAAAGAGTTTCTGTAAACCAATGAGGAAAAGATAATTCACCTGGAGAATAGTCAAAGACAGCAGTATTTCAATAAGACATCTCTACAGTGGCAATAAACCCCAGATTTCTGATCTCAGTAGCTTGTCTTTTGTCACTTTACATGTCAAACCCAGGTTGGTAGAAGGGGCTCTGCTTCACACAGTCTCCCAAGGACCCAGGCCGACAGCAACCCCTCTGTTTTGTAGCAGCACTATCTGGAATACAGGACCTTCTAAGCCACTGCAGTGGGAGGAGAAAATGCCAAGGATCTCCTTCAGGAATTACGTGCTTTGGGCTGACATAGCATGTGATTCGGTCAGAACTAGACCCGGGAAATATGGGGTAATGTCTGGAACCAAGAAGATCTGAGTTAGAATCCTACCCTGTCACCTAAATAGTGTGCGAACTCTGGCAGCTGTTGTGGTTGTGAGGTTTCAAAACAATTTCTACAAAGTAGCTTGTTGTTACTCTGTCAGAATCAAAGGCCTCAGTGTGTATACTCACATATGTACGCATCCCTTCCTGCCCCTAATCACACACCCGTCTGTCATTTGCATCATGGTCTTATTTCATCTCCACAGCAGAGTTATTAGGCATATAGATTTGGGAGCAGAGCCTCTGGTGACAAATTCGGTCCAAATTTAAAACTTGGCTCCTTACTAGCTGAGTGATTTTTGGATAAGTCATTTAACTTCTCTGAGCCTCAGTTTTGTTCCTTGTAAAATTCCTAAACAACATGGTGTCCATGGAAGGATTATACAAAGTATACAATATGCAAATATTTCTTATTTTCCAGAAGAGTAAACTGAGGGACAGAGAGGTTAAGTACTTTTGTTAAGGTCATACGGGTAAAAAAAGGTAGATGCACAACTTAATCTCAGCTCTGACTCTAAAATCTGGCCCTTTACCGTTGCTATTATATTGCGCCTCAATATTAAAGGCCTATAGAATTCATACATAAAATCATAATAGAATTTGCCCTGTCCAACAATACTTAGTATTTGTAAAATTGTGATTTGTGGGTTGTTTATTGGCAGATCCTACAGATCTCTTGTCCTGAGTTCTGCAAGAGCCTTCTTTGAAGTCATTATATATTCCCACCTGACGCTTTGATGGCGATCCTTCGAAGTCAAGTCCACTTTTATCATTAAAATAATTATATTCATGATTTTAAGAGCACAAGCCTAAGCAAAGCTTTTGTCAGTTATCTATATGATGATATTCAGGTCATTCTAATGAAAGAATAGTATCTTTAACTATTAAACTGTAGATAAGTGATTTGTTACTATTGCATTGCTTTAAGAATCTACCCCTAAACAGTGATATTTTCCATGTAATTTTCATAGAGTCAGTTGATCCAACCCTTAGTAGTACTGAGTTAGAGGGGGGAAAAAAAGCAACTATCACCACCAGTATGTGTATTCCAGCCTTTCTGTGAAGAATTCTAAAGGAAAATGCACCATCTCCCAAAACTCCCTAAGTCGTATCTCCAGATTACTCCTTTGGCAGAGGAATAACATGGTAATATCTTGTGTGTGTACAAGCGTGTATGTGCCTGTGTTTACAGCTCTCTTTTCTTTTTTTCTTTTTAAAGATTTACGTATTTATTTGACAGAGAGATAGACAGAGCCAGAGAGCACAAGCAGAGGGAACGGCAGAGGGAGAGGGAGAAGCAGGCTCTGCACTGAGCAGGGAGCCCGATGCAGGACTCGATCCCTGGGATCATGTCCCGAGCCGAAGGCAGACGCTTAACCATCTGAGCCACCCAGGCGCCATACAGCTCTCTCTTCTATGCTCACATAATGTTCTGTTCATACCTCTTCAGCACATTTGGGGGGAATTCTTTATTCTACATGAATCTGTTTATTTCTTTAGATCAGAGGTCACCAAGTGTTTTCTGTAAAAGGCCAGACAGTAAATATTTTAGGCTTTGCAGGCCATGGAGTCTCTGTTGCAACCATTCGGTTCTGCTATTGTAGCATAAAAACAGCCACCGATAATGCCTAAACCATAGAAATGTACTTACCGAAAAACGTGTGGGCCGGATTTGGCTCATGGGCCAGTTTGTCAACCCTTGCTTCCAGTGATGAGCATTTTGAGGGTATGGACATGGAAATAGTTGTACTTTACTTAGCCTCATCTCTGAGCACCTGGCTAACATTCAGGGGAGCCCCCCCCAACACTGCCATTTTGTCTTCCTTCGTTTCTTTAGGCTCTAAGATGGATCTACTTGATATTAATCCAATGGACGCCAAAGCAGATGCCTTATTTTTCTATAAGAATGAGGACAAATTTGACCTCTCTAGAAAAGAAAAGAAAAATATTCCTGTCTTCTGAAGTGTGAAGTATCTGAGGTTTTACCCCAGTGGCAAGCTAACTGCCACAGTTTCGTGGTTGCTGGCATAAGACATGAGACTCCTGGGTCAGAGACAAAGGACTTTGTTACTCATAGCACAGCAAGCAGCATGAGCCAGTGCAGTGTGTTAATTCTCCTTGCTCCCAAGTGTCATGGGGACAACCTGGATAGACCCAGAAGGATGCCTACAGGTGCAGTGGATTGCATTTCAGGAGGGGGACCCTGGGCTTAGAGAGCCCAATCTTTTATA